TGTTATTAATCATTATTAATCATTTCTTCTTTGTATCTTTGTGTTTTATTTCTATTTTGATTATTTAATTCGTATGTTTTAATTTATGATTTAATCAATTTGAAGTTATATTTTATTATTATTTAAATATTTAAACACTTCTATTTTCTTATTTATTATTCTTTATATTTCATTTATATTCTTATTTATCATTATTATATTCATTTAATAATAAATATGTTGAAATATAATTATATTAATTTATATTATCATTTCTATTATGATTTTTGATTTCTATTAATATTTTGATTATTGTTGTTAATTGTTTATTCTTCTTTTCTTTATGTTTTATCATTCTTTTATCACTTTTTATTTCTTTATATTTTGTATGTTCTCTTTTATCTTTCTTCTTATTTATTCTTTTTCTATTTATCTTTTATCTCTTATTCTAATATTCACTTTCTTCTTATTTTGTTTTCTCTTTTATCTCTGTTTCTTTGTTTCTTATTGATGTTTTGTACCAATACACTCATTTTTCTCTTCATCATATTCTTCAATAGAACCATTCCGAATGAGTGATTTTGTGTATCTCCGATTTCTTTTTTATCTTGTCATTTTTGTTTTCTATTTACCAGTTCATTCATTATAAGATGAAAGAAAGATGAATAAATCCCAGAATGATAAGAATGCACATGTGATGATGATGACATTCTTATTTTAATTATGTAAAGATGGTTTTGGTAGTTCATTTGTTATTTAAACATCTCATCATCACAATCTCATCATTTCAAACAGTTAAATGTCCTGCAATCAACAAAAAGAATGTTGTAAGAGAGAATGTCAAGAGAAAGAATGTTGTAAAGAGTATTGTTGTAAAGAGTATTGTAAGAAAGAATGTTGTTGTCCAAGAATTAAAGCATTTAAGAAATTTATGAACACATTTGAAAAAGCACAAATTGGAAAAGAAGCACCAGAATTTAAAGCACAAGCATATTGTCCATGTGGTTCAATCAAAGAAATTGATATTAATGAATATAAAGGGAAATATGTTGTGTTATTATTTTATCCATTGGATTGGACATTTGTTTGTCCAACAGAAATGATTGGATATAGTGAAGTTGCAGGACAATTGAAAGAAATCAATTGTGAAGTTATTGGAGTGAGTGTTGATTCAGTTTATTGTCATCAAGCATGGTGTGAAACAGATAAAAGTAAAGGAGGAGTAGGAAAATTAGGATTCCCATTAGTATCAGATATTAAAAGATGTATTTCAATTAAATATGGAATGTTAAATGTAGAAACAGGAGTTTCAAGAAGAGGATATGTCATTATTGATGATAAAGGAAAAGTAAGATACATTCAAATGAATGATGATGGAATTGGAAGATCAACAGAAGAAACTATTAGAATAGTTAAAGCAATTCAATTTAGTGAAGAACATGGAGCAGTTTGTCCAATCAATTGGAAAGCAGGGAAAGACACAATTGAACCAACACCAGAAGGAATCAAGAAATATTTAACAACACATTAAAATAAACAAGATATTTTAATAAATTTTATTATTAAGAAGAAAATGATAATAAACATATAAAATAAAGAATAAACATAATAATTTAATAAATGAATAGAATAAATAATAAATAATATAAGTAGATAAATTGAAATAAAATGATAAAATGATTATAAAATATATTTTATTTTTACAAAATGTAATTATATAGAATTGAAATAGAAGAATAAGAATATTAGAAATAATAATTAGAATTGAAATTGATAAAATATCAAATAGAAATTAAACAAACAAAAATAAAATGATAAACAATATTAAATTATTAATCATTAATAATTGAATTTAAAAATAAATATAAATTATGAAATAAAATCTATTTATGTTAATATAGTGAATATTTAAAGTAATTAATTAAATTTGTTGTTATAATTCAAATATATTCATGAATTATTATTCTATTATAATATAATATTAATATTTTATTATGATATAAATTTATATTCATTTCAATTGATTTATTGATTGTTTCTTCTTATTTTATCATTCTTTTGTTGTTTATTTTGATATAATTTAAATATGATATAAAATATAATTTAAATATTCATTTTTATATCTTTTTATTGATATTGTTTAATTAATAATTTAATGTATAAAATATGATATTTAGAAACAATTAATCAAATATTCTACAATATATTACAAATTTATCATAAATAAAAATATTATTAATAAATACATTTCATCATTGTTCTTTTTAATAATATTGTTATTAAATGTTTAATATATTCATTCATTTAAATATAATTTATTCTTCTTCTTTCTATTCATTGTTTTATTTTTCATTATCATTAAATATTAAATAGATAAATTATTATTATAAAATGAAAACAATTAATTATTAAATATTATTTAGAATTATGATGTATTATATATCATATAACGTTAATATTCAAATATATAACTACAGAAATGATATTAAATGATAATCAATTCATTTATTAATGATATTTGTTTATTTGATTTTTAATAAAACATTTATTAATGAAATGATTCAATTATTTAAAATTAACACATAAAATTATTAAGTTGATGTTTCTGTAATATATTTGTTCATTATTCTTTTAAATGAAAATATTTTTAATAATGAATACAAAAATGAAATAATTTATTAATGAATGAATAATTAATGGAATACAATTTAATTGTAATATAATGATATAACAAGATAATATAGTGAAATATACATATTAATAATTTATTTAAAAGAATGATAAGTTATCAAAATATTGAAAACAATAATAAATCAGATTTAATAACAGTTATAATAATTCATTACCAGATTAAAATATAATAATAAAAATAAACAATGAGATAATAGTTAATAAACAATAATTTATATTCAAAATATAAAATAATAAAGAATAAAAAAATAAAAGAGAATAAACAAAAAGTGATATTATGTTTAAAATTCATATTTTAAATTTAAAAAGATGAAATAACAAGTTAAATTAATAAATATTGAATAAACGAAAACTTTTTATGGTAATTTTTTTAAATTAATTGAAAATGATATTAATTACAAAAACACAAATAACAATTATAAACAATTAAACATAAATAAATATGAAATATA